ATGTGTTTTTTAGTTTCATAGGATTTTGCACACCAATCTTCGCACGATGATGAAACCTTTTTGTGGAAATATGAAATTTTTGTTTCCTATTCTTCCGTTACGCATATGATGCCGCCCCTTAATTTTCTTGTACTATGCAATGAGAATCGGATCATGATGAGATTATGATAATTAGACTGATTCGTCTTTAAACACAAACCCTAAATAATTCCGATCATAGGTCACTCGAGAGGGATATCGATATGACCGGATAGACTAATGTACTATATACTTGTCCATATTATAGAGGTGACTGGTCTCATAGCTGCTTGAATGGGGACACTAGGGATATCGCGTATGTGCTCATTAAAAAATGAGCCCACTGATTGATTCACTCACGGAATATTGGATGGTTGATAATACCTTATTATCAAATAATGATTTCATCATCCCAATGGTATATTTAGTCTTTAGACTTAAGACATTAAAGATGTCCTATATGAATACTCCACTCTTTGATACTGGACTTGCAAACCTAGAAGTTCTAGATCTAGCACAATCGGTCATTGAGAGTGGTAGCTAACCTTATGAGGGCTATTGAGTGTTGATAGAGGATCATCCAATCTCGGTGTCATGAGAGGAATATCCCTTGTGTCCTCACTTGTGCAAATCCCTAACTAGGGTCATTCGGATTGAGAGAGAAATGGTTCTCCCGGAGAATCCAATTAGAGTGAGACTCATGTAGAAACTGTATAGGCCTTAAAGAACTATGCCCGGTATACGATCTCTGGGGTATTAGATGGATGAGGGACTATAGATATCTAGTAATTGAGGATAGATAAGTCCAATGGATTGGATTATCTTGTATTGTTTGGGGACTACGATATAGTAGCCTAGTATATCCACAATCGATGAGTTGAGTGAATTATTATGGAGATTCTATAATAATTCATTGAGCCCGAATAAGTTTTGACAAGTATAACTCATGGTCAGCTCGATATTGAGCATAGAGGGTCACACATATATATTAAGTGTTGCAACGAGTAGAGGTTCAAATATGAGATATCCGCTAGAGCCCTTATCTTATTGGATATCCAATAAGCTCATGGATTATTGGATCCTATGGATGAGATCTAATAAGAGCCAATGAGAGATTATTGGATGGAGATCCACTAATCTAAGAGACTTGAGTAGTTGGATGGTGATCCAGTACCCAATAAAGTAAGATCTATTATGGTTAAGTTTATAGAGGGGCTCTATAAATAAGAGGAAACTAAAAGGCCATAGGCTAGACTCCTTTTGGCTGCCACCTCATATTCTTATCTCGCCATCTCCTCCTCAACCTGCAGACCCTATTTGAGGGGCATGTGGATAATAAGAAGGGTCAGCCCCTTCTTGATTACGTGATACGCATAGTGAGAAGATTTGAACAATGATTTGAGGATCATCTTCGCAACCATTGTCGTATGGATTACTACTAAAGAGGAGGATAGTTGACCTCCTTCATATACTCTCACATATTTGTAGGAATATATGATCTCCCTATAAAAATTTAAGATTTGTAGGAATTTAAGGATATACGACAAGAGACTAATTTTTCTATAAAAATTAAGATTTTTTTTTATTCTTCTGTTATGCATGTGATATCGTCCTAGATTTTTCAGTAATATATATGTAGTCACTCATTTTTTATACTCATAAAAATATGATATTGGCAACTCTTATACTAAATTTCTTTTATGCATCTACTAAATGTCACCATTATGCAAAGTTTTTATTATGCAAAGTCACCATTTTATGAATGTGGTACTTAATCAAGCCCATGATTTTTTTACAACTTTAACAATCCTCTTAAAGGAAAGGTTAAACCTCCAAAATAAATTAGTCGAGGCCAATTAGAGCTTGGAAGAAGTCATTCGACTCTAGACTTAGATAAGGTAGAAAGGGCTCATGATGCGATGTAGATGGAGCTCTCAAAGCTGAAGCAAAGATCAATTCAAACAGGCAATAATTTGATGCACAACTTGAGAAGATCTTAGTAATTAAATAAGCTCTACAAATCTAGTCTGAGAATGTCAAGCTCGCCTATCAAGTCGAAGAACTATCTAATTGACTTTAATATAAATAGCCCCTCAACCGTATCATAAGTTCAAGGGAGTTGCTAAATATAAGAAATTGATAGGGATTGAAACGGACTCATCGACATGGCTATAACTCCTTCAAGTGTGATTTTTTGAGTCTTGATCAACCACCCTAGGCTTGTATATGCTAAACACACTAGTGACTAATGTCTCGAAGACTATCTTATGGAGATTGGAATGATAATAATTTTGACAACCATAATCAATAGTCCACTCCTCTCAAAGATGGCAACATGGAGGATGACAAAGAGGTCAATGCAAAAGGAGCCCACCAAAGGTGAGATCAAGCTGGAGGTCGATGCAATAGCCAACAAGGAAGGGGGCAAGGTGGCTTCTATTTATTCGGTGTTAAGTGTTATATTAAATGCTAAGATTATCATCATGATTGATGATGTCGAATCAGAGTCGGAGCAGTCTTTGCCCATATTGTTTAATAAGCCTTATATCCTTTTTAGTTTTTTGACTTTTTATTTTGGTGTCAAGACCTTTTTTTTTTCTTATAACAAACATATAAAAATCTTTCCAATAGATGTACATAACCTTTTATTAATGAAATATTTTTATAAATAATTTATTTATAAACTTTTTATGTGTAATTGATGTATAATGCAAAAACTCATCAATGATAATATTTTCATAAATTGTCTATGTTCCAATTCTAAGAAGTATACGAATACTTGAGGGTATAAAGTTAATAAAGTTTTTTATCCTCTTCGGCTACTCGATAGAGACTCTCCTGGTTTGGAACAAGTTTCTCTCATGAGTGAGTTGGGTCACTCACCTTTGCCTTCCTTAGGGCCAAGTCACCAAGTTTTATGCATCGATATCATATCTTCAATTGTAGTATTTTATCATTGCTCGCTTATAGGCCAAATAATTAAATGAGCCTTCTCTTGAGTCTCTTTAATCTAGTCAAGGTAAGCCCTTAGCGCTTGATGTCATTTTATCATGGTTTGGGTTATCAAGGTGATAATCTTGGAAGGAATGATAATTTGGGTATCATAAGCAACTCTTTCATTGATGCCTATCGTATAGTTTGATAGCTCTATAGAAACTTGAGAGCTCATTGACCCATACTCCCTTTGCTCTAATGCCATATATTTTTCAACTCCTCTAGAATTGTCTATAGTTGGTGAGTTTGATCAGCCCAATGGATTGAGGGTTCGTAATAAAATTTGATATAATTAAATTTTATATCTCTATATTATCATAGACCTCATAAGCAAAGAGCTCTCAAGAGCCCCTTCTCCCTTATTTGGAGAAATATCTCCATGTGTGAGATGTTGAGAGGAGTAAAGTCCCTCCCATAGAGTACTCGAACCCCTAAGAGGACCTTTATCTTAGGATGACCGAGAAGGTTGATCCTCCTTCGTCAACTTCTTCTCTTCTATCTTCTTCCTTCCTACTAAAAGAAATAAGAATGTCATAAACACTTGATAAAAGCTTATATACGAATCAAAGAATGGGATTAAATATCATCCTAACTTTATTGTTGAACTTAGTATAGCAGTCATATAGGGATTTGTTTTCTCCCTAAAAAATTTAAATAACGATATTATTATCTTTTTTTAACAGCGACTAGTTGATATAGTTAAGATTAAACTTGTTCCCCAATTGACTAAAGGAATTGATGAAGTTCAGAGTGAAGAGTACCACTCTCTTTCATTCCCATTGAGAGGTATCAAGAAGCACTAACACACATATAATGTCATCTATATTGACAAAGTGACATGTTGGTCAGATCTAAGTTGTGTGTTCAAGATTTTGTAGGTGGAAATCATGAGGCACTTACTCTTATTGGATATTTTTTTAGTGAAATGAGATTTCACATAGATGGTAGTCTTTTAGCTTTCTTCTCTTATTAAGATTCATGTTTTATATCCTAAAAGTATTAATCTAATTCATTGAGCCACTCTTAACCTATAGCATATAACTTATTACTCGATCACCCCTTAAAAAGGAACAAGAGAAATGGAGTGGAACATGTTAGGCATGGGTTCTATGAGTTGATTACAAGCGAAAATAGGTGTCGCTCCCCTTTATTAAGTAAGTTGCACAGATTAAGGAAGGAATGACACAATGGCTTATACTACTCCAACTAGTACTTGAACATATTGGGTTAGATTGAAGAAAACCTTGTTAGGATTATGAAAGAGTACTGGCTCGTCACTAGGCATGTGAGCCTAGAATCATTGAATTAGGGCTTGAACACCAAAGTAAAGCTAGTGATTTTTGGGATTGAGGAGAGTTTCACAATCTCCATTCCGAATGTCAATGTTTGGGTTGGTTATGTGAGGTCTTATACATGATCATATGAAGCTCTAATATAATTATCTTGTGAAATATCATCACTCTTGATTACTGTATATTTTTATTTTGAAGATAATCTTGGTTTTATCGAACTCGAGATTTGATATAGAGTCCTACAAATGATTAAGTAAATATTAAGAATTTAATCAACTTTTTTTAGTTTAAGAGTCGTATAAAATCTCTTTATATTAAGTAGAATACAGAAAGTATTTTATAATATGATTTAGTAATCATCATGAGTAAAGGAGAATTAATTCATAGGAATGACAATATTAAATCATCATGTATTATTCATGAAGAGTCAATCTAACCATATAACATTATAGTTAATATCATTATGTATCATCGATTAAAATAAATCATTATTACTAGTTAATACTTAGAATTAAATTATAATTTAGATGTCTTATGTGTAGACTTAACAAACAAAATAATGTATTCCTTTGATTAGCATGATTAAATAATTGTGTATCTAATCATACTTGGCATGATCTAACTTTAGCACCATGTTTTTATTGTTTCATTTATTTTTTTGAATCAAATATTAGGCGATATAACTCATGTTTTTTCTTTAAAAATAACCCATTAATATCTCGAGAGCGAACAATTACATGCACGTCGACGACCAGCCAAACCAAGGACCAAATTGGCTTATAATTCCCGTGAATCTCCTCGCTCACTCTTCTCCTTCCCACGCTCCAACGCACAACTCAGCCCTAAGCCGCGCTCCTCAGGTGTAGGGAGGCGGCTTGGGGAGGCTGGCGACCGCTCCGCAGAGCAAGACGGTGTCGGGAAGGCTGTACTCGTCCCTCAGTGATCGCGCCGGCGACTGCACGCTGATGTAGAGCTGCTGCCCCTGGTAACGCCGCTCCCACAGCTCCGACCTCAGGTTCCACATCCCGGCGTTGTCGAACGTCAGCATGATCGCCGACCACGACCTCGGGTACACCTGGATCGTATGCCTGCTTACTGCGTCCAGTAGGTTGTAGCCCTTCCTGCTCGCCGGCGTCCATTTCCCTGGCCCCATCCTGCCCCCCAATTCACGTAGACGATCATCGTCAGATCATGCATGGATGTGAAACCAGGAGAGCGAGAGAGAACAGGGACGCATTACCCGACGGGGAAGAAGGAGTAGCCGTCCAAGTGGTAGGACTGCAGGTTCCTCTCAGGGTTCTCCAAGATAATCTCCACGTAGGTCCTGAACTCGATCGTGATAACGTTAGGGGCCAGGGTGAAGGGAGCTTTGCTAGCTGGCGGCACGTCGCCGATGAGGTTGTACTTGAAGAACTTGTCGCCAACGCCGAAGTACTCTCCGTGCTTGAGCGGGGTGTCGGTGTCGACGTGCGACAAACCGTTGAGCGTGAACCGGATCTTGCCACCATCGACGACGCGGGAGCTGGAGAGCTTGATGGTGCGGGTGATGTTGATGCTGCCGTAGTGGTAGGAGCCCTGGGGGTTCGGCCGGGCGGCGCTGGCCGTGAGGTTCCACCGGAAAGACCGCCACTGGTTGAGCGACCACCCCCAGCCCGTGGGTCCCTTGGGGAGGACCGCCGAAGGGGGGGTGTTGGAGCCGGCGTATCGGACGACGGCAGTGGCGGTGATCTCCTTCCTCAGGAACCGAGTGGAGGCCACCAGGTAGTAGTCTTTAGGTGCCCGGTCGGCGGTGACGAGCACGGAGAAGCACTGCCCGACGTGGATGTCGAGGGAGTCGTACATGTTCTGCATAGTGTGCGAGCCGTCCATCTCCACCAGCTCCATGGTGTGGCCCTGGATGCGAAAGTTGATGGAGGCCTTGATCCCGGTGTTGCAGATGCGGTAGCGGTAGACCTTTCCGGCCTCCATCACGAACAGCGGCTTGTCGTCCTTGCCGCTGCCATGCTTGCCGCTCTTTCCGTTGATGAGCACGCCGGAGGGGAGGCCGATGCTGCGGCCCATGTCGAGGGTCTTGGCGAGGGCCTTGTGGTCCTTAGCGTACCAGTCGCCGACCAGGACGGTGTAGTCGTCGGCCGGGGGGTCGAACGGCACAGGGATGAGAAGGCGGCTATTGATCCGCAGACCACCGAAGCCACCGACCGCCTTGTGCATGGCCAGGGACGGGAAGTAGTAGAAGCTGCCGATCTGGTCCTTCACCTGGAAGTGGTACGTGAAGTTCTTGCCGGGCTGGATCGGGCAGTTGGTCCCAGGCACTCCGTCCTGCCACGAGTTCTTCCTTTGCTGGATCCCGTTCCTGCAACGATCCACAAGCAAGCAGACGTTGCAGTCTCTGATGTCTCGGACATCGAGATCGAATCGACAGGAAGATCAGAGATACGCACCATGAGAAGAGGAAGGGTTCGTCGAGGTTGTTGAAGACATTGATGACGATGTTGTTGTTGGTGGTGGAGTTGATGTTAGGGCCGGGGAACTGGCCATTGATGAGGATACCTTTCTGAGGAACGCCGAGAGGAGCGATGGTGCCGTAGGTCACGTTCCACGTGAAGAAGAGGTACGGATCCTCGGCGCCGACGCCGGACAGCCCCAGGACCGACAACACCACCACCACGAGCACCACGACACGCGACATCTCGCTCTTCCTCTCACTGGATGGAACCGGGCAACAGCCTCGCTCTCTTTGTTTCTGCCCTCCCTCTCTTTCCTTTATCGGCCACGACAGCTGAAGGAAGGAAGAGAAGAAGGGTGAATGGAGGGGACGGAACCTAACGGGAGGCCATGGGAAGATCCCAGGTAGCGCTCGGAGGAGATGAAAAGGAGGAGCGCAAGGCCAACTGGGACGCTTCGGTCTTTGCTGGGCGGCCTCGACCTGCTCTTATAGCTGGTGCAGAAGGGGATTCCTTCACCAGGTTTGATGGCTATAAGGACGGCGTGAGCAATTGGCGCCGCAACAACCGTTCAAACTTATCTTCTTCTTCGCTCGTTCTCCTCCTTTGCCGCTCCTCCCTACACAACAATATCTCTTCCTTCAATAAATATATTCAGATTACGACTGATATCCACACAAAGCATGTCGAGGTGGTATATGGTGAGTTGATATAAGGGAATTGGATGTGCACCTGTCAGCCATCCGACTTGAATATTTATAATCTCATAATACAACACACTTGGATATAATCAAACGATAGCCTTTCACTCCTTATTACATAGATTTGCTATTTGTGTTGAGTAGATCGAAGGATATTGGTCTAAAATGTGCTTCCTGGAGAAGAAATCAAGTATAATGTACATATGCTTTATTGAATTGGGTGATATGTTTGGCTTCCTAGAGAAATCAAGTATAGTGTGACTCCAATCTCATTGTCTGATTTCACTGTGACATGAAAACTGAAAAGGATTCTTTTGAAATATTATTCTCTACAAAATTATGGAAATATAAGGTAACAGTGCAAGTAGGGTACATATTAATATCTGGTATAAAATTAAGCTATTATCCATCATTGAGAAAGTTTTTACAAGCTTTACATTCAAATAATGTTCAATAAGCATGAAATGCTTGATAAGAGAATTTCTAATCACTTGTCCAAGATTTTCATTAAATGAAAACCCTATTTGTCCTTCAATGTCACTGCTGGTCATATAATCCATACACACCTATCTTAATTGATTGTCATATACTTCCATGTAAATGTTATATCAAAGACTATAGTGACGAAGTTGACTTAATCCCACGCTAATCAAAGAGTTAAGAATCAATGCCTAATAAACATTTTATGGTCCATCTTAAAGTGTATATTTTTCCTCATGAATTAGGATGCAAGTATGAGTGATGAGTAGCGATTATTTTTATGAACTAATGTACTTATAATGGATAGTGGGAGAGCCGACGACACATTGTAAAGAGTACAGTCACATAATGACCCAATTACGATAGATCGATGACCGTCAATCGAGGTATAAAGAGGACACACTTAGTTTCATACGACACTTGGTCAATGAAGCTTCAACATGAGCGTAGAACACACTCAAATGGTGCTTCCTTCACCTCAAATTTATATCTTTGCCAAGTGGAGAGATTTGACTTAAGGAATCATTGGATGAATGCTCGCGATTTAATAGAATTATCTTTTGGGATGTAGAAATCAAGTGTTGCATAACCATGCTGTCAATGATCTCTCTCGTTTGGTTGAGAAAGCTGTTGCTTGAGCTTTACGCTATGCCGCTGTCCACTATTATGTGGAAAGGAGAGGGGAATGTCAACTGAATGTCAATATCGAGGATGCATATGGCGACTGGTTGTTTTCTGGTTGCAATCACATTCGATTAAGGAATTCTCTAACATGAATTTTTGACTCTAAAGCAGGGTACGTACGCATCTTGCTTTGAAGAAGGGAGTGGAAAGAATCATCATGGAGCCTCATGCTTCGTCTTTTATATTAACACAAGTCTTGGCAGGCCATAAGCTTAATTAGGATATAAAGGCTTTAGTACCTTCTTTTTTTGGATGTATCATATGAATAAATATTTCAATGGGGTACTATTATCGAAGAATCCAATGAGATTGCGTTACCTTCAAAGTCGAAAGTTGTTCATCGGGTAGAAGATAATATATGACTCGATCTTGTTTTAACTCGACATAAAAACAATCAAGTTTGACTAAAGTTGATTTGTCGATGTAGAATTAAGAAATGAATGCGGAACTTATATACTCTCAAAGCACTATAAAGGTAATTATAGAATATCAATGTCGGATTGTCTCAACTCGATTCGTTTGGTTATTATGTCAATTGACTTGTTTAGATAGAATGGTTTTAGATATTCAAAAATATGAGGGGAGAGAAAATGATTGACTATTTGAAGTAAAAAAATTGATTATCTCGACTATTTGAGATGAATAGTTTTACTATTAATATATTATAACTACTCTTGAGATAAGTGATGATGTAACCTAACCACCTTTAGGGTGATGATTATGATCGTCAAGATAACTTAACAAATATTTAGATGGTTGATAATATGACCTAATTATATTTAGGGTAGAGGTGTTCAAACTAAATCAAAATATAGAATCGAACTAGAATAAACTAGTTTAAAATTGATTTAATTCAAATCAATTCACAAATGATTTGAAGACTACAAACGTTGTGGATTGGGTACCCTCATTTTGGTTTGATTAATCTATTCAAATAGAATAAAATATATTTTAATTTAAAAAATATTAATCCGATTGAATTCATTATCCTAATTCCTTAATCGATTCAAACTAGTTAATCAAACATACTCAAAGCCCTAATTTTACAAATAACATGGGCTTATTTTCATAAATCTTATCCTCAATTGGATCAAGATTATGATTCGATTGAATTACATTGAATCAATTTATTTTAAAAAAATTAGCTTTAAAATTATTTAAGATTACAAACCGATTAATCGATTTTGAATCAGTTTAGTTAGATAGATTCAAATCGATTTTGATTTGCACTACCTCACTTTGACTAATTCGAACCAAATAAAATGAAAAATTCGGTTCGACTTTAACGGTGATGGCTTAAGCCATCGAGATAACATAACTAGCATTAAAGCAGCGATTTCGATGATCGAAGTAGCATAACGTTCACTAAGGTTGTCAATGACGTGATCCGATCACCTGGCAATTTCGATCGTCAAGGTAGCTCCACATTCACTAAGGTGGTTAGTGATGTGATTGGTTCCGTCGCTTCATACATTGTCATCGATGTTAGTTTTCTGAGAATAATGGGCCCCGACAGTTATCCTCTCGAGGCATGGTTCGTAATTATTTAATTAGCTAATATATGTTTCGTTTTGGGGGAAAAAATTTACCTTAGAAGTGATATTCGACGAGAATCCAAACATGCGTTGTGCACGGATTAACTCCTTTTTAAGATGAACAGTGACAATCTTTCTGTCTTGCAAGTGGGCCACAGATTTGGATATCGCCGGTGACCTACTCCACGTATCGTATGCAATAGCTTCAATGCAACATCTCGCACCATACGCCTTCTTCAACTAGCCAAAAAATTAAGCCAGCCATCTCATCAGCTATCATCACACCCCCCACCAAAGTTCAAATTTTGAAAGGGGCTCAAAAAGAGACACCCCACCCCACGCGTCACGTGCAACTCTCGTGCCGACTCACGATAAATTCTCCCACCCCCATGGCCGCCCTCCCTCGTTGAATCCTCAACGGTACCTGCCTCGTCTGCTCTGAGGCCACCGACCGGCCCCACCCGGGTAGAAATGGCGGGCTGGCCTAGTGGTGAGATCGTTTTTCCCACACCTCGCTCGCACGAGCCATCTCAAAAGTGGGAGTCTTCGCTCCGACCCACAACCTACCGTCTCCCACGTGCCAACCCCAAACAAATCTCCGCTCTCGTCTCGCTCCCTCTCGTCCCTCAATTCTTTTTGTTCTCTATTTCATTTTCCTTTCTTCGCCACCCACTGGCCGGCGAAAAGATCACGAGAAGAGGAGCGGCGAAACCCTCGCTCACTCGGTCCGATTTCCTGCCATTTCTACATCTATGCCGGTCTGAGGACATTTCCTCGAAGGTGAAGGGGGGAGAGGAGCAGGGGAAGAGGGTGGAGGGCGAGCGGTGCGATGGCGACGGAGGACGAGAAGTTGCTCAAGGATGCGAAGAAGCTGCCCTGGGATGAGCGGCTCCTCCACAAGAACTGGAAGGTGCGGAACGACGCCAACATCGATCTGGCCGCGGTCTGTGACTCTATCACCGATCCGAAGGATCCGCGCCTCAGAGAGTTCGGTAAGCACCGATCCCGTTTCGATCCGGTTTGTTTCCTGCTCGTCTGGCCTTTGCCGTGCGCGCTTTTACTTGATCTGTGGACATGGAGTTTGTCGGACGAGTGCTGACTTGAATGTGCGGAATTTCGTCGGTTGATCGGTCGACTATGGGACGTTACTAAATCTGGACGAAGCTGTTAGTTTTGATTTCTTTGCAATTGTGGTGGATTAGGGCCTTTCTTCAGAAAGACAGTGGCGGATTCCAATGCGCCTGTGCAGGAGAAGGCGCTCGATGCCCTAATTGCATTTTTGCGTGCGGCGGATGCTGATGCTGGGAGGTATGCTTGTTTTCTATCTGTTGATACGGAGTTTGGAAACACTACAACCTCCTGATTGTGTGTGGAGTTGTTCTTTTTGATGTAGGTATGCGAAGGAAGTTTGTGATTCCATCGTTGCTAAATGCCTCACTGGAAGGCCTAAGACAGTAGAGAAAGCACAGGCTGCCTTTCTCTTGTGGGTGGAGTTGGAGGCAGCCGAAGTGTTCTTGGTAAGAAGATGGTAACTTACACCCTTTTGCAAGAAGCAAATACTTAACTACGAAGAAAATTTCAAGTTACCAAGACTATTAACTTGGTTAGAAGAAAATAACGTACCTAGGCACCATTTTGCTGCTTTGCTTGCTTAAAACTTAGCTACTTGAACAATCCTTTTAAACAAACAAAACATGTCTTCTGGAGCATGACTTGGCATTCTGCTTCTTGTTGATTGTAATGTTGCACTTTTGAGGCAAAGGTTCCTGTTCCTTTTTCCCTGCTTGGAGTTCTCTTACCATACACCTCCAATTTATAGGTGTATACATGGTTCAAACTGTTGGGAACTCCATGTTTCGGCTGGATTTCTTGTCATATTGTTGACATGATTCACTTTTTGAGCTTGGAAGAAGAGCATATTATGCTTCTTTAACTGATATAGGGATCTCTCCTCATGCAAGTTAACTGTTAACTCTGATAATTGACATGAAAATTAGAATATGATATCTTCATGCGTAATTTAGGTTCCAGAATTAGTTCAAGTCTTGTTTTCTAGCCGCCACTCTGGGAAGATGTTGATGATGATGCCATCATACTGAATATGTTTCAGAATCTCCAGCTGACCATCCATTTTTGGATGCTAACCAGTTGATGCACAGACTTGTTTGCAGATGTCAGAATCTGAATACAATGGCATGCTGCTGTGTGCTAGTTAAAAACTGCTATATTTGATTCTTCATAAGGAGGAAGTAGGATAAAACGATATTAGGTATAGACAGATATTGACAATAGTATCATATTTGATCCGTTTAAGCTTATATATGCATCTGCTCAATCGGTCTGGATGCATGCAAGTGGCAGATGGCTGAAATAATCAGTATCAGTATTTGCTCCAAATGAGCATAACCGTTAATCCGACAATTGTCAGATATTAGATAACCATTATCTTTTTAATACCATACTCTACAAAACTGATGGAGATATCAATAGTAAGTTTGCCAATAGAGACTTTTAAGTCCATACAGAGGAGAGCATAGTGATGACAACTGCTTAAGGAACTAAATAACTCCAGTACTTATTCCTGGTTTACATTGGTATTTAGGGACTATGGTCTGTCATTGGAGATTTGTGATTGAATTGTGACATTTTGCACCCTCCAAATGTGTGCCGGTGCATATATTTAATTCTTCCAGAAACTTAAGATTCAAATAAATAATACTTTTCATTTAGATTATTCTGAATTATTTTCTTCTTCCCCTTGTTACCTAGAGCATTTCACAAAAGTAGCCAAGCTTCCAGTGATACTGCTGTGAATCCTGAGGATGGTGTTCTGCAAATAGTATCTGCCAGATACCCTGTGATTCTGATTCTGTACAAAAGTTGCTTAGCATCATTTTTCAATTTAATTTCAGGCTTTCCGTATTCTATTTTTATTTTTTACTTTTTATATTTGGGTTGAGAAAAGGAGATGTGCGTGTTCGTGTGGCCGGGTTTGGGAGTTTGTTGAATGGATGGAGGTGGGCTGTTGAGTTATATCTATTCTTAAGTAAGCTACTCAATGCCAGCATCAAATGTACCTTTGTTATTGCCACGTTGATTTAATTTTTTATAGGCTAGCAAGTTTTCTTGTTGTTATGTTTGGTTAGAAATGTATCTAGATTATTACATTGAAGATAAACAGTAGTTGATTTAGCTATAACGTACTCTTCATTTTCTAACAATGTGATGCTATGTGGTCCTTTTTATACTTTACATGGAGCAATGTCTATTCTTTCTATTTTGCTGTGACTTTTACCTCCTATTATTGGCTTTTGGCTGTGGAATCCTTCAACATTTGTTAGAAAACTTTCTTACCTCAATTGTCTGGAATTTCAGGAAGCAATGGAGAAAGCAATAAAAAATAAAGTTGCAAAAGCAGTTGTGCCTGCAATTGATGTGATGTTTCAAGCTCTTAGGTGTATATGTTACTCATTCTTAATCTCTATTTTGTTTCTTTTAGTTTTTCAATTGATCTAGATTTTAGAACTGACATTCTTTTACTTGCTTACAATCTCTAGTGAGTTTGGGGCAAAGGTGGTTCCTCCCAAGAAAATCCTTAAAATGCTTCCTGAACTTTTTGATCACCAAGATCAGAATGTCCGTGCATCTTCGAAAGGTCTTACACTTGAACTGTGTCGTTGGATTGGAAAGGAACCAGTAAAATCTATTTTATTTGAAAAAATGCGAGATACTATGGTGAGATTTCAGCTGTTTTAGTTCTTAATTGAATCCTGATATGCACTTTTGAAACTATTCTTTATAATCATTTGAAGAAAAAAGAGCTGGAGGCAGAACTTGCCAATGTTTCTGGAATTGCTCGACCTACTCGCAAAATAAGGTGATGTATTTTGTTCCTTTTAGTTGTCTTTTCAGTATGCTTATTCATTGTCTGATGTCTAAATTATATTGTAAAGATTAAATAGCATTTTTTTGGTAACTTATAAAAGTGAAACATAGTTGATTATTGACATGTTATATGCGACTACTGCTTAGTCATTTCCCAATTTTTAATGGATGATTTGATATAGTTTATGTCATACTCCTGACTTATTATGCATTATACTCAAATCTTGAAAGAGGTGTTATTATATGTTTGTCATGATTATGGAATTTACAGTTAAAGTTACATAAAGTTTTGTAATTGTCTTATTACGAAGGCAGTAATGAAATTAATCATCATTGATTATATATATATATA